TTCATATTAATAAAAAAGTCAGCATAAAATATAGTGTGTGTGTAATTTTAATGGTCTAAATGTAGCAGATAAAATTCTACTGTAGTTAAATCCTGAATTTGCCAGATTCAAGGCAGTATGTATGTACTAATATCCTATTCCATCTAATAATTTTCTTGTGGTTTTTTTCATCATTTCTCATTTCACATCATACGACTGTTCCTCTTTTTGAGCACTTCAGGTTTTCCTAATACTTACGCCTCATCTTTTACATCGGTGTCTTATTGTGCAGCAGATTTTAGTCTACTTACAGAAATGAATTCCATCTCATGGAAATAGCCAGATATTCTATTAGCTATTCCTTGCAACTCCATTGCTTTGGTAATGAAGACAGCAAAAGTGAAGCATTTATGTATTTGCAATAGAAAACCTATAGTTCTGAGTGCGATAGCACAGCAGCTTAAGCCCCTGCCTAGCAAACACAAGGTCCTAAGTTTGATCCCCAGGACCACAAAAAGCAAACAAACAAACAAAAACTATAAATCCGTAGAATTTACAACTTAGATACAAAAGACTAAAATTTATTTCCTTTCTAGTCCTTTGTCTAAAAGTATATATATCTGTCAAGTATGAGGGTCTTAAGATTTGCATGTCATATTTCCTAGAGTTAATGAAGTTATATTCATGTCATAAAAATGTAATAGTTTTTAAAAATAATATTAGGTGGACTTATTTACTATATTATGGTGTAGTGAAGAATACCTCGTAAACTGATTTGCCTAAAATGTGTCATGCTTGCAAATTCTCCAGTGTATGTACTGTTTTTTCCTCAACTCTATATTTTAAAAATACAGTGATAAACTTCCATGAGTTTTTAAATTATCTTCCAAAATAATATTACTATGGGTCTGCAATGAGGTAATTAAATTTCAGTGGGCTCTATTAATGAATGAAGCTTAATATTTCCAAAACAGTTAATAGTAGACTTTAGGAAGCCAAAAAAAATTGTAATAATCATTAACAATAAACTAATATCTTTCAAAAATAGTGACTTCAAATTGGTGAATATCACCATCTACCCAACCACAACCAAATTATCATATTTTTATTTACATTTTTTATTAGTCCTTAACATTAGACCAAAATCTCTGTTGAAAAATTTAGATGAGTTGATATGGTTTTAGAGTTTGTAACTGAATGAGTTCATACAACAGAATATGCTAGCTGTTAAATACAACTAATGGGCTTTTACACTGTAATTTTAAAACATTTTTTGAGAATATGTTTTATTAGAGATTACAAGCATCACATATTTATCATCATTTCTAATCAAATACACATTTTGATTTTAGGAAATTTAAATTAAAATAAGTCAATTCATTTATGTAACATTATGAATAAACATGTTTACACATTCTCATGTTATATATTCAGATGACTTTTAACATTAAAAATAATAAAATATTAGAAGTATGTAAAATCTTTACCTATAAAGTAAACTGCTGATGTATTTTTGATAAGAGCTACTAAACATTGGGATAATGACATATTCTATTTTACATTTTCTGTTTTGTCCCACATTTATAAAGATTCTGTATGTTTCCATGTGATTTAAAACTTTATTATTATCATTATCATTGGCCTATGGCTTTAAAATATTTTATTAGAAAAAAGTAGGGTAAAAGAATTACAACTCTCTTACTCTTGAAATTAAAGAATTAATGAAGCTATACAGCATAGTTTTTACTGCTTATCAGATTGGACCCTATTTTTACCATAGTTAATGGAGTCTTAAAACTAGGTAACATTTAAATATAAGATTTTCCACAAATCTATTCTTGGATCCTTGAAAGAAATAATAAATTCTGGCTTTGTACACAGCATTCAACAAATCAAAAAAAAAAAGAAAAATGACATCTCAAAGTACTCAATAAAGTTTAGTTGTGTGAATAGCCCCATCTATGAATTGTAGGTTCTGATGAAAGTAATCTCTCGATTATGTAATCACTCGTAAAGTCAGGTTGAGTCTGGAGATCCAGTTCTATATTATGACAACACACTTTTTACCTTGCTCTGACTCTATAGAGCAGGCCCTGGAAGCAACCATCAGAAGGAAAATGGTCCATTCAAAGAAAGTACTGATTGCTACAGTGCTAAGAGGCCAGGACAACTCTGCACCTCACATTTCAAGAAACTTCATGCTTGAAGTATTGGTGGTTATCTTAAAACTAAGTCCTGGTCACAAAGAAATTTATATAATAATAGAGCTTGTCCATAATAAAACTCTATGCAACCCATATTAAAACTCCTAAAGACTGAAATTCTAGAAAGAAGAGAACTGTATAAATATAATCTCACTCCATTTGTAAATAAAATGTATAGCCAGTAAAAAAAATTTAATAAGGGTTTTATAGAATGAGAGACCAGCAATTGATCTGAAATAAGAACATATTTGCCAAGGTGACACTCATTCTTATCAAGTTTCAGCAATTCTTCCCATTTTTATAAATTTCCAAGAAGTTCTAAATTTTTAAAAACAATGCTAGGCAATATTTCTTCTTTAACAAGCATAAAATCTATTTAATTGCTTAGAGTGTTTTAAATTCAGTCTGGTGGAATAATAATTACATCAAATCACTTTCAGTCTTGTTTTCTCTCTAAACTTTCTTATCTTTTTATGTATTTATACTTTTGGATTTAGTACAGGGTCTACAGGGTCTCACTACGTAGATGGGACTTGTAGTGTTCTGCCTGTGTTCAGTCTCCCAAGAGCTGGGATTACAGGCGTGCACCACCACACACAGTCCCAATCCCATCTCAGCACGCCCTGGGGGCCGGACCAGCACAGCATGTCAGGGATTGAACCCCAGCCACTGCGTCGGCCTAAGCAGGTGCTTTAGTCTGCTGAGCTATTTGGCTGGCCCTCTGGAACCATTTTATCCTTCTATATTATAGCCGAAATAAGGTTATTTATTCCTGTTGGGTGAAAATATTAGACAGCAGAATAGACAGGGTGACCCTGACTCTCAAACAAGTACAGAGCCATTACTATTAAGAGAAAGCAAAGTAAAATTTTCCTAAGACAAAAATCCCAAATCAGGAGCTGAAGAAATAGCTTGGTGGTCTAAGTGCTTGCCTGGCAAGCACAAGGACCCAGGTTCGATCCCCAGTACCTCAGGCTGTGCCGGCCCTGCCCCTGAGTGCACTGAGCCAGCCACTGAAAGCAGGCTGGTGATATACACCTATAATCCCAGCACTGGGGAGGTTGAGGCAGGAAGATCACTATGGTCCTGAGCTGCATAGCAAGACCCTGCACCAAATAAGTAAATCCCAAATCAAACAATTAAGCAAAATAAACACTAACTAGTTACATTTAAGTGATACTTGGGTCAAGAGTCTAAGTTCATTATACTTTCACATGGATTACAAATTCTACCTATTATAGGAAGGCCTAATAATTGAAAAGATTAAAAGTGTAATGGAAAAGAATTCCTAGTTTAGAAATAAAGGTTACCTGTGTGCTAATTTGGGCAAGATCACACCCAAGGCAAGACTTACAGAAACATTCTTGCTACTATCATTCCGTAAAGTAAGAATCCCAACAGACCTCATCTGAAATAAGTAGAACATGAACAACATAAAATACATATTAATCAAAAACTCCGCCCTGCATAACTATACCTGAAAGCAGATACTGTAATCTCTGCTTTGTCAAATTTCACTGTGACATTTTTTTTTCAGTAATGTCTTATCTCTTTCATATAGCATCAAAGTGTAAGGATCCTGGAAGGTACTTTCAAGAAAATGTGCTCATTTTGTCCACCCCCGCCTTTGGATTTGTTATTCTTAGAGAAGTATCATATTTGGGGAGCACACGCCTGCCATTAGGGCGTATCATAAACACTGCTTGGAGATCATGCACAGGCCATTAGAACACAGTACATACCTTGAACTCAAACATTAACCAATTTTAAAACTAACTGAGCTTAATGTATTTTTCTTTAGTGCTTTAATGAACGTAATGATTCACCACAATACCCATACTGTAGTGCAGTTTACTTTGCTGTCTTCCTTTCTTCATCCCCCTTTCCTTTCCTTCTTTCCTTCCTTTCTTACTTCCTTTCTTTCTCCCCCTCCCTTTTCCTTGCTCTCCCTTCTTCTCCCTCACCCTCCCTCCCTCCCTTCCTTCTTTCTTTCCTTGCTTTCCTGTTTGGACACTACCAACTGAGTCCAATTCCCTGGCCTATTCTGGTGAGTTGAGCACAGAGCACTCTGGTAGAAAAGAATGGAGGGGCATTTCTCAATAGCAACTCTCAGCGGACGAATCACTTCATAACGCTTTGTAAATGCCAACCAGAAAAGTAAATTGTTCCCCCTGCTCCTCCTGTGACCTGCTCTTTATCTACGAGTGTGCTTGAACAGAATTCTCTTTCTTTTCCCATCACTACACTGGAAAGTAAAGCCAGATTGAAATTAAATAAAAGCTGTATTAAGTCTTAATTACATATTAGCATGTAAACAGAAACATTCTGGATTGTCAGAAAAGCATAGTGTGAGATAAAAGTCTTGGAAATATTTTCAGTCAGCCTTGTTTTCCACAGCATTCTTTTGGGACTTTCTCAATCTGTGCTCAGAAATAAAGTCAGGGAATCAACTGTCTTGTGTTACACAACCCTATCCCACATATATACACACTATATTATTCAAAATAGGATATAAAATTTTCAGCCAATCTTACATGATCTGTTAAACTGCTGCACTTTCCTGTGGTCTACAACATACATAAGGTGTGTAAAGGACAAAAGGAAAAAACAGAATTTCAGTATCAATTAAGATCTCTCTTTGTAGTCCATATTGATCATTGGCACCCATGCAGGACTTGTATTTTGAAAATGGCCTTACATAGCAACTAGTCAATACCGTGCATTCTATTTAACTTAAAAAATGTTGTCCATAATCTTACATTCATAAAAACACTTGACCACACCCACACACACCCCACACACATTTTAAAAACTTACACAATTTCATCGTTCTGGAATTCGAGCTCTCCGCAAGTGTCCTCGAAGTCCTCCCCGCCGCCTCTGGCAGTCCCTTCGATGGTTTTGTAGGGGACGATAACATTTCCTCGAGCTCCCGAGGTTCTCAACACCTTCACCTCCATGATGCCGATGCTCTCGCTCACGTGGGTCACGGGTTCCTCAAAAGTAAAGATTCCTGCATGGTCATCGTCAAAAATAGTAACAGTGGCAGTGCAGGGGGACCCGAGGCAAGCAAGGGTAGAGACGTGGTTGGCTTCCAGTATGCCATCTTCTGAGGCCTCTGAGGACACTTTGACGTTGCTCAGATGCACCAGGAAGTTTTCGTCCTCCTCGAAGATGTCATCGTCGATGATGCCAACCCTGATTTCCTTCTGAGTCTCTCCAGGCTTAAAGACCACGGTTCCTTCGGTGAACTCATAGTCAGACCCAGCGTTGGCTGTGCCGTCCTCTGTCCTGAAGTCAACAAACACAGTGTTGGTCAAATCGCCACCTCTGCGAATAATGGTCAGGGCCACTGTCCCACAGTTCTCCAGACACTGATATGTCCCTTGTTCAAAGAAGATCTTACTAACGGGGTCATTTTCGGCCATTTCCGTGTTGACCTCGTGCATACTGACCGCCTTCCTTGCTTGGTCGGCTGCGTGCCTCTTCAAGATGTTGCCGGCGCCTGTCATCAGGCGAGTAGCTTGAATTCGGTAAAACGCGCGACTCTTTTGCTGCTGACTCAAGACTTGGTAGTTAGCCAGTTCGATCAATTGCTCTATTTCCTTCTCTGGATGCTTCTGCTTAAGCTCCTTCAGAATCCTGGCCATTTCCCTCCTCGCTTCTTCATCATCTTGGTCCCTCTCATCAACCTCCAGAACCAGAGCGCCATCTAAGAAGTTCTCCACGTGCGAGTTGACTACCTTTCCATCCATTTCGATTTCAGTCTTGGAAGACGGTCTGTCCCCTTCGTGCTCTATGATCATCCCCCTCTGCTTGCCAGCCCGATACCGCTTGTAGACGTACTTATAAAACAGAAGCCTTCTGTCTGCTACCCATGCGAACACGACGCAGATGGGAAAGAAAAAGAACGTGAGCAACCCTTCCCAGACCTCCACCACGCCGGGGGAAATGACAGACAAAATAATGTAAAGCCAGGTGTAGGCAAAGATACTCCAGGCAGCAGTCACAAAGAACACGCGCAGGTGCTTGATCTTCCTTGTCTCTCCGTCGGGGACCACATACACACACAGTGCGATGATGATGAACATGTTGAAGGCAGCGCTTCCCACAATAGTGCTTGGACCGAGGTCTCCTGCGGTGAAGTTGTGGCCACACACTTCAATTACAGAGAGGAGAATCTCAGGGGCAGAAGATCCCAGCGCCATCAAAGTCAGGTTAGACACAGTCTCGTTCCAGATCCTCACGGTTGTCTTGGTGGTTTCTCCATTGGGTTTCTTTATGGTTATTTCTTTTTCTTGGGATGTGATGACTTCTATGGAGGACATGAACCTGTCAGCGATGATAGAGACGCCAAGAAACATGTAGACCATGGCCACAAAATACACAGTTGCTCTCGCAATTTTGTCCCCAAAAGAAGGGTCTTGAGGCTCCCAAATGGGCAAAATCACCCCTTTCTTGCAGTAATAGGAGCCTGTACATTCACCGGTTTCATTTCCTTCTTCCACCATCTCTGTCTCTGCAGTTATATGGTCCACGTGGGAAAGCAGGAGGGCCATCACCGCTAACAGGTGAAATCCCAATGAGAATGGAGGTGAGAGACGGAGTCGCAGCATGTTGTGCAATGAGACCTCCAAACGGCACAACCTACTGGGAAATACAGGATGGGGGAAGGGATAGAAAAAAATCATATTAGAGCCAAATCTGAAGCATAAGTAATCATTAATTTTTATCACTAATGTCCAAAATTTGTATGTGTTCGACCACCACAAAGACCTCTGGTGAATCATTTTTCTAAGAATTAATCAATGATTAAGCAATCCTTTGTAAAATTTATAATTCAGTGTGTCTGTGGATTTCCTACATGTGGTCTCATTCACTGAGCAAACTACAACTGAATTCCAGGAAATGAAAAGTCCTGGTATAACCTGGCCTTACGCATGCTCGTAGGCAGCAAGGAAGAACAACAAAACTTTTGAAGCATTAAATAATTTTTTCCTTACTGCTAAAGTGGGTTTTCTTTTATGTTTTGGTCACTACATTATCTTCAGGAAACTGTTTCACTGACAAAATCATTTTATTAGGTAAGATTCATTCTTTAAAATTCAGACTCTGAAAAAAAGCCCTACCACCACATTGCAATGGCAAATACATCACATTGTATTTCATAGAATCACATTCTAATGATCTAAATGTACTTGAAAACAGGAAAAGCTTCAAGCTGGCCCGCAATCGAACTCAACAGTACCACTTTCTGAGAGGAAAAGTGCTCTGCTGTAATGTCAAATTTCCAAACAGAAAACAGGTTTAGAAGCATAGTTTGATGAGAACACGTTTCTGCCTAACTTTTAGCCACGCGCAAGCTTCCTGATGCATCCTAGTGGGCCACCTGCCTCTTCAAGCATCACCTTCCACATCTATGCATGGAGCCCACTTCAGAATCTGCCAGCTGCCTGCATCAGAAACAAGAGCTAAGCAGGCCTTAGCCAAGCCAGGTGTAATCATCATTACCAGCCAGAAAATGTTCCAACTTCCTGTGAATGTCATACTTTCCATGGTCAATCCAAAAGACACAGTACTTCTGTAGTGGGCTTTAGTGGCCCCAACATGCAGGAGCAATGATTCTATCTAAATCAGCTCCTGTGGAATGACAACACTGCCCACGAAGTATACATAGGTAACAGGGCTGTAAGTGATTAGAGATATGACCACGGGGTCACAGAGTCAAAGAATGATGAGCCAAGTAGGAAGCAGAGACATTGAAACCCCAAATTCATGCCCACCTCAGGCAAAACACAGCTCAGACCTCACGGCAGCTCTGCCTCTTGAGCTGGGGGCATGTGTGGTGTTAAGACCCAGGCATGGCCAGTGAAGAGGGTAAGGTCTATCACTCTCCTCTGAAAGGCTGCAGGGAGGGGCCCACTGTGACTTCTATCTGCAATGGGTGGAAAGGGGTTCTGAGTTAGAACATAGCCTCAGGCCCTGGAAAAACGTTAACAGGGTTAGAGATTGCCATAGTTCCAGGCTGGCTGAGAGCCACTCTTTTACACTTAGGTTCTCTGGCCTGTAATTGCTGCTGATGGCTTATAGTAAAAACTGCACAATGTCCAAGAGGGTCCCCCTACCAGGCATATTCTAATAGACCCTCAGAAATCCTCCCACAGTCACCAGCCTTGTAGACTATCACCACCCAGAGATAAGACTCTGGCATTTTTCCTATAGTAAAGTATCCCCTAAGAGGGTTGCAGTGGTAGACATTCAAGCTAAGTAAAAGGTGGACAATCAGAAGAAACACACTTCTTAAGCACATAGAAGTTCATGGTCAAATTGCCTGCCTAGTGTGGTCACTGCAAAGCTTGGGTGACTCTGGAGATCTCTGATTAAAATCAGGCTACTTCCAACAAGCCTGCAGGAATAGTGGAAGATCTAGTTGTAGCTCCCTTATGCATCCATTTATGTCACAAAAATTTATGTGGGCTTAATATGAATTGCAGAGCGACTTGCTAGGCTCTCTTCCCATCCTGAGAATTCACCAGTGAATAGAAGAAAGTCTCTGTTCTTTCTGGGTGTACAGCCTAGTGAGGGAAAAGCAAACAAAATAATTAAATAGAAATGTCAGCTACTAAACAGTGCTGTCCTGGGGACTGGGCAGATTCAATTTAACAAGGACAGGGTCTCTCTCTCTCTCTCTCTCTCTCTCTCTCTCTCTCTCTCTCTCTCTGTTGCACACATTGCGTGCATGATTTTATATTAGATTGTTAAAGAAACACTCTCTGATAAGGTATCATTTGAGCAGAGTCTTAAGGAAAGCAAAAAAATCAAGCCTTGTAGATATCTTCAAGAAAAGAATTTCAAGCTAGTGCAAAGATCCCAAGGACAATATGCCTGGCATAGTCCAGAACCATAGAGAAATCGAAGGTACAAGAAGGAAATTCAGGGGGAGGACAGAGTTAGGAGTGGGGTACAATGGGAACTGGTCATGAGAGCACTGCAATCAAAGCAAAGTATTGAGCTTTTTTTGGCACTGAGAATCAAACTCAGGAACTTGCATTTGCCAAGAAGGCACTGGACCACTGAGCTATAACCCCAATATCCCCACCTTTTACGAGGGAGGTACTGATTTTCATGGACAGGAAGATAAGAGGCTACAAGAAGTTCTGATCGGAGTGTGATCTTTTCCTTTTAGAAGGGACATGAAATTTCTCTGACAAAACTAAAACAGAAAAAAAGGGGTACAAATGAAGGACCATTTTGTATCTGTATATTCAAAAGTTAAGACAGATATACAGCTACTTTCTCTCAGTTCAATGAATAGAAAGATTTGTTCTAATAGTGTTTGTGGACAGGATATCATGTCTGCATCTTATACTATGAATGACCACTAAGAAGACAACAACATGAAATGTATCAATTATTGAAACTGTCCTACTAATTGGTTTTGAAACTGTCTCACTGCTATTTGTTTCTCAATAAAATTATTTTTTAAAAAAGAGGGGACACGAAGAATCAGATAAATAATACATTGCAGGGGCAAGGGTAGAAACAGGGGAAGCAGCTCTTGCCTATTGTGATAAAATCTTATTTAAAAGTGATCCCAATACCTGACAGGCAGACAAAATGTTATGTCAGACAGGTAACATTTAAAAAGCAAAATATTTTCGGTGATTCTTTTGGAAGATCTACAACTTAAAGTGTCTTGGATGCCTATAAGGATTAGAAAAGTTAAATATACTTAATAAGCAATGGTACTGAAAAGAGATAGTAAGTGCTAAAGAAAGATTCAAACCTGTGTCTGGCTCGAAGACTGAAAAAATGGACCACTGCTTGCAAATTACTGCCAAAATCTTCATTCCACTTTTCATATTTCAGACAAAACGAATTTCCTAAGGGGTATAGTATGTCTGATACACTTACATCTCTTATACCTCATCGATGCTTGCCTACTATGTATTTCCCCATGGTCAAAGTTCACACTCCTCTATACTTTGTTCAAAATCTTTTATGATCTGACCTCTGAATTACAGCATAGAGAAATTCCTTCCACTCACTTAATTAGACAACACTTTCTCATGTCCAGGTTTTGCAGATAATGTTTTATGTTCTTAAAACTATTTTTCTCTTTCACTCTTAAAATCAAGTTTCCAAGAAGAGCCAAACAGCCAATCACAGTCAATTTCCCAAGAAACTAATATTGCATTTTATTCCTTAAAAGTGCTCCTAGTTTCATGATGAACCCATTGAATGTACCAGTTACATCTAGTACTTACAATAACCAGAATGTCTGTGTTACAGAATTCCTAGGGTCATCATTTTCATTATAGTCTTCATAAACAGCACCCCCTTGACTCATGCGGTACACAGCATCCATCAAGACAACTACATAGTAGGCACTCTTTAGCCCATTCTTAAAGTGGTATAACTGAGGCTTAGGTAGGTCAAAGATTTACTGAAAGACATAGAGAATAGACTCCGGAGTTAAGATTCAAAATTCAGGTCTGTTTCCAAGACTGATGTAATTAACTGGTCCATTATGCTGCTCCTGATTAGTAGACACAATAACCTTTGACAATTATTGGACTTTGGCTTGAATTAGCCCTTAAATGCCGGGTCAGGAAGGCCTCGTTAGCAACAGTCTCTTGGAAGGTTTCCAACAGCCTGGCTTTTATTGTATGGATTAGAGACTCAAGTATCAATGACTGAGGCAGCATGAGGGCTAATGTGTGCCTGGAGACAGCTGCCCTATGATCCTTGGCCATAAAGGATCCTTATGATCCTTTAGCAATTGCCTGGCAACCTCTTCCTGTGTGTACTGTCCCAGGGATCTCTTAGGTCAGCCAAGAAAATGTCTTGCCTTCTAGCCCACAGGTTACAGTATGTTTTTAGTCAACATATTGACTAGATTGATCAGTAAAACTCTAAAATCATTCTCAGAGGGAAAAAAGAGGGGCTTTTAAGGTTACCTAAAAATATCATAATTATATTCAAAAAGCAACAACTTTATAACTTGTAAAATCAGTGGACACAAACACTGATGTAACTTATTGGCCCTGACCCAACTGGAAAGAACTCTTCACAATTCATTTTCTTCTTCCTTTATTAAAATTAGTGCCAAATCCAAAGGCTTATGATGATGTGGGATATGTGTTATCTAATGCCAGTTTCTATTTTCTCATTTTGTCTCATTTCTTTCAGGGTCTTTCTCACATCGTCAAATTCATGAAGTTCTCCTTACTCTTCCCCACAGCTCTTCAGATATATATACTTACATAAATATTAAGCAGAAAGATAAGGATAGAGGATATAGATATTTTAGTTTACAGTCTGGCCTTACATTCTGACTTCATCTCCTAAATGCTGGACAAAGAAGCAGGATGATTTTTATGGCAGCTTCAGATCATCTTTGGCCATTGATGGCCTAGAAAGATCAGTTTAGGAATATCCACGTGGTCTATATAAATCTCCAACACAGTAAATGCGAAGAAAACCTGAATTATCTTCTGCTCATTATTTAGTTAAAAAAAAAAAAAAAAAAAAAAAAAACAGCATCAGCCAAGATCCACAGATTAAAAACCTGAGTAGCACTGAGAAAAAATGATAAAAAGACATCCAGCTGTCAGTAATCCAGCTGCCAGTAATCCAGCTGCTAACCC